TTCCAGCTTTATACATTTGGGAAGAGAGGGGGGGACTGTAAAAGTATCTGTAAAAAGGTTTTAAGATGTTTGTTTGTTGATACTCACGCATTTTGTTCAAAACACAAAATGTTAAATGTTAAATTAAGAACCGACAACGCAGCACTCAGGACACGTCTATAAGTGCTCTGTCCCCATTTCCAGCAGCAAGCGCGAAGTTAAAATTTCGATGGTACCAGTAACTGTCTGATTGTATATCCGTCTCGCCTTTCCCCTGAGTGTCGAGCGTCGGCCGAATCCCCTTGTAACTCCTCGCAGTGCAATTCTCCTCCGATCGTAAAGATTTATCTGCTGCTCGGCACTGTTCATTCGCTCCCAGAGGAGCTTCAAAAGTCAATGTTTTGAACACAATGACAATTAACAGAAATTTCAACACACTTTGTACATTGAACAAATGTGAAAAACAAAGGTACATATTATCATCTGAAAAAAAAAAAATTCTCGCAGGTAATCGTGATGCAAAATGCAGTGAATTTCTGTTACATCATAGAATAATTATTTGCACTCAAAAGAGAACTGTGATACCAATGAATGAAATAGTGTTTTGGAAGTTGAATAATATTTGTTTCAAAACGGCGTTCGATATACTGCACTTGTATAGTGGTGGAATATATTTATCGGTTTGAAAAGACAAATATAGTCATGTCTTAAAACTCGTGTTGGACATTTCTAACACCTGTTAGAATGAAAATATCATTGGTACTTTCCAGTTTAAGACCATGACATTTACTATTGTAACTAAACTAATTACTTTTAGCACATGTTTTGATAACGTAATGTACTGGGTTTTTTGGAAGTACGTTCCACATAAAAAGTGTAGTGAGATCTGACAATCCCACTTTATTTCTAATTTCTCTATTTAGACTATCACTGTGTGAACTTAAAAATGCGGACTGACTCGTTTGGAAGTATCGATGAGCAAACAAAAGATGCCTTTTCAAACAAAATGGAAAGAAGAATAAACACAATAGACATGGCTGGCTGACTGAAATTTCTACCTCACTAGGACATCATGACTTACTTTCTACCTCACTAGGACATCATGACTGACTTTCTACCTCACTAGGACATCATGACTGTTTTTCTATCTTACTAGGACATCATACAAGCAATAAACACCCGATGACACAATGTGCCACCATGTGGGTGAGGATCACAGTGGAGAGGTCACGGAAACCGCTTTTAGCCTTTAGGCCATATTTATAGCCAGGCTATATTGCGGCCCCTGGAAAGAGCCAAAGTAGGGCTTCAAATAACGAACAATTTCATCCTAAAAAGGACGAGAAGTATTAGCTAATATAAACCATAGACATTTCAATATGGAAACTTAAATCTCTCCTTTGGTCGCGATTTCAACGTGATTGGCCGATTTTACATCAAAGAGAGAAGGAAACGGCCCGAAGTTCAAAGTGCACTTAACAATTATCGGAAAATGTCGGAGCTTTGGAGAAGGCTATCTGTCGTTGCTTTTCTTGCCATGTTTGTATTTGTTTCTCTCTCTCTCTTTATTATATCTCTCTGTCTGCCTTTTTTCTTTCTCCGCTCTCTCTCTCTCTCTCTCTCTCTCTCTCTCTCTCTGTGTCTTTTCCAAAGCTGTTTTTTTAACTCTCTCTCTCTCTCTCTTTCTCTCTCTCTCTCTCTCTCTCTTTCTCTCGGCGCCTCTCTCTCTCCCTTGCACTCTCTCGCCCTCTTTTTTCCAACTCTGTTATTGTTTCTCTCTCTCTCTCTCTCTCTCTCTCTATATATATATATATATACATATATATATATATATATATATATATATATATATATATATATAGACAGAGAGAGAGAGAGATAGTTATATATATATATATATATATATATATATATATATATATATATATATATATATATATATAAAATTATCTCTCTCTGTCTCTTTCTCTCACACGCTTCCCGCCCCTAGGTTATGATTCAGCAGTCTCTGATTTTTTTCTTCTATATATTGGCAGCAAAAATTTTACCCTCACCCCCCCCCCCCCCCCCCCCGGTTTCTTTACTTCCTTGTCCGCCCCTTTATTCACCCATGTATCCTGCTATACAACAAATTCCATTCAACTTCTTTATTATCTTAGCCTTGCTTCTTCTCTGTCCCCGCTCACCCCCCCCCCCCCCTCTTCAATTTTTTTTTTGTGCCTCTCATTAATTTAATTCTTCAATGATTAATCTCTTTTTTTTTGCTCTACCTTCTCCAAAGTTCACTTCCCACGCTGTTTATCTTTGCTACAACTAATGAGTCAAAAATGTTCACAACAGAGATGACATCTTAGCAGAGCTGCTGAAATAACAAGAAAACAGAAAATAATAATAACAATAATAATAATAACACACTAATAATAATATGTTTTATTAATGAAGATATTTGGCTAATACTAGGAGTTAAACAAGTAAAAGATAAAGCAAAGTAAAGGTCCCTTTAGGCGTATTAGGCATATTCGGCTAGACCTATTTTTATAGACTAATCGGCACTTGGACAATGATATACAACATTTGCATAGTGGTAGAAGGCATTTATCAGTATCAAAAGACATCTACAGTATGTCCTAATGTGGTCAGCATCACGCCTACCACCTTTCCTTAGCAGGACTGGACCTGGTACCCACTCAAAGCTAGGTCAACCTGGGAGTCAAGGTCATTTTTAAAGAAGGGGAAACAAATCCGGCTTCGTCAGGAAGTTATCAACTAATACTACAAATAATTCACAACTTCATTCCGTTGTAGTTGACTGACTGACTTTCTACCCCACTAGGACATCACACAAGCGATAAACACCTGATGACACAAAGTGCCACCATGTGGGTGAGGATCACCGTCGAGAGGTCCCAGAAACCGCGTTCAGCCTTTAGGCCATATTCATGGCCAGGCTATATTGCGGCCCCTGGCAAGAGCCAGAGTAGGGATTTAAATAACGAAAAATTTCATCCTAAAAAGGACGGGAAGTTTTTTAACAGTAACATTGACCGATGCAGTTTACGCTGTATTTATTATAAGTAGAGCAGCGTCTAGGCGAGTGATTACAATATCAGTCTCTCATGCGGGAAACTCCGGTTCTACCCCCGGTAAAATATTAGTTTTTCTGTCGGGGGCAAAATTTAACCCCCTGATCTTCACAGTTCGCGGCGACAGCATAGCCGTGCGGCCGTAAAACATCAGGCTTACGCTCTCCTCCCTCTGTCTACACTGCCTTTTAAAGTAGTAAATACAGATGGTTGTGACAGCTTTTGTTTTAATTACAGGTGACTCATTTCTTACATAGATAGTTGCTATTCTAACACTTCTTATTCGTATTGTTCATGCCGTGTCGCGCGGGTAGTCATGTCTATCCACAACCTTCTGTCTCTTGTACTGCTACTATTAGCATGTCAACTCTTCGTTGGTTACTGACTATGGGGACGGACCATATATGGGAATGTCCTGAGTGCGGTGATGTCCGTTCTTGATTCATTCATTCATTTATTCTTTCATTCATTAATTCACTCATGCATTCTGCCTCGTGTACTTTCGATCAGTTCTTCTTTATCTTCGCGTTCTTGTAAACTCCGGCTCCGGCGGGAAGTTCTCGTTCTTCGTCCACCCCTTGACTGTAGTCTTTTTCTAGAACATGAGTGCTGCATGCACATCCGTTTTACAGGTCGGATGTGTTTGTCTGCATATTGTTGGTTCCTCACCATTCAGGCTGATGCACTCCGATTTCGAAGGAAGTCCCAGTAAATAGACTCTTACGACATGCTTGTTGGTGAGGTGGTGGGTCTTTTCTTGTTTTCCTCACAATGGGGTCCCGGAACCCACACAAGGATAATCAATTCTGACGCATAGGATCTTTCATACCATCAAACCTAATTTTTTGATCTAACTAGATATATAGTGTTGTTGTAGAGTTGTTTCTGATTGTTATTGTTGCATCTTGTTGTAATTTCAAGACATTAATAATTTGTTTCGAGATGTAAAATGTTTCTACCATATATTGAATTTCCTCTGTTCTACGCAGGCAGCAGTGATGTGACAAATATTTGTAGTTTAGTAGTAGATGATCTCCATGTTTCCGCTCAATACAAAAGTATATAAACCTCGAGTATATTTTCCGCAGTTTCGGGATCAATGATAAATCCTGTTCCATGCTATCAATGCCAAGTGCACACACTAACACCCTCCAATGAACGTGAGATTGTGACAACAGCGATGAAATGCATGAGAAGAGCTGAAGGAGTTTCAAGGAAAGACATAATACGAAATCATGAAATCAGACGACTGCTAGGAATAAAAGTCTAACAGCTCATCAAAGAACAACCAGTGAAGTGGTTTGGACACCTAACAAGAATGCCCTGGTACTATCCGCCACAGCGAGACACACTAAAACGTTACAACGGGTATAGAGCGAGTGGAAGACCTCGAAAAAATGGAGTGATGGCATTAAGAACAGCCTTACAGAAATGAACATCAGTCTTAATAGTGCTCTTGACAGAGCTCATCAACGAATGTTACATCTTCCCCCGACACTTCGATGAGGTACAAGGTGAAAGAGAAGAAGAAGAAGAAGAAGAAGAAGAAGAAGAAGAAGAAGAAGAAGAAGAAGAAGAAGAAGAAGAAGAAGAAGAAGAAGAAGAAGAAGAAGAAGAAGAAGAAAGAAAAAAAAAAGAAGAAGAAGAAGAAGAAGAAGAAGAAGAAGAAGAAGAAGAAGAAGAAGAAGAAGAAGAAGAAGAAGAAGAAGAAGAAGAAGAAGAAGAAGAAGAAGAGGAAGAAGAAGAAGAAGAAGAAGAAGAAGAAGAAGAAGAAGAAGAAGAAGAAGAAGAAGAAGAAGAAGAAGAAGAAGAAGAAGAAGAAGAAGAAGAAGAAGAAGAAGAAGAAGAACGAGGAGAAGAAAAATATGAAAAAGAAGCATCTTGTTGTGTCAAATTTGAAACATGTTTAAATGTATTGATCTTTCTACCCATGGCCAGGTAACCACCGCGCACGTACAGGCCCTATAGTCTACCCATCAGCAATCCCACAACCAGTGGTCTATGGCTCCCTGGGTCTTTTCATGGCGTCACGGGTAGCTGAGGGTCTCAGTATAGAAGGTAGGTCAAACTGGTGTATCTTATTATGTCTAAATATATGTCAGTCTTTCCTCAGCATACGACACAGTCGCTGTCAGTGTCTCACATCTAGTGTCGATTTGTCTATAAAAATGCGGGTATAGCATCAAATGCACCATTCTGTCTAAATGTATTATAAATATATACTCACCTTCACGTGCGACAAAGGTTGACTCAAACTAAAAATGGCGAGATGCTGTCAATGTCATAAATCTACTGCTGATTTATCTATAAAATGCAGGAACAGCATAATAGGCACCATATTCTCTTAGCGTATCTTTGGTCTATTACCTATTTGTTAACAAGAAATTTCTTATACATTCATAACACACATTCGACCGACACGAAGATGGACACAGGAAATAAGTGACTCCTTGAATATTAAAGTACATGAGGCAGGAGAGCTGGTGAGGGACCGAGCATCCTTTAGGCAGACCATGATGAGAGCGACGTTCTGCAAAGAAGCTGCCATATGATGATAATGATACATTCATAAATGCTGTTATGATAACTTGGTGATGTCCATATCACTCAGTTAGTGCTGATGTGTTTTAAAACAAACTTTTTTGTTTTTTAAATTTAATATTTGTTCTTACAGATTCATCAACTGGCACATCCAATTGCCTCATAAACAACATCCTGTCCTGAAACTGGGGTATTTTGGATGTTAAATGCTATGGTGGTGTGGAGAGAACGGTGATGGAGGGTACAGTTTCTGGGAAACGAGGCAGAGGCAGACCTCTACAGATGTGGATACAATATAGTGAAGATGCATTGGCAGTGAAAGCACACAGTGTTGGAGAAGTGGATAAAGAAAGAGAGGATGTCTGGCATACCGTGACGAGAGTGCGTCAAACCTCTTGAAAGAAACTGACACACGAAGAGAACTGATTGCCCACATAAGAAAGCAACAACCTACATTCTACATCAGTCATGCTAAACATTGAGTCCTGTCTGGGTCACAAATAGGATTGTGCGTTTAAGGTCGCCACCGGTCCCCCATAGCTTCTCTTGCAATGTGGCTCCCTTGGGCCAGATCCAGTCTTTGCTGGGAGAGGTTAGGGCAGTACTGTAGTATGTGTTCAGGGGTTCTTCTGTCAAGACCTCCTGCAGTTTCAGGAAGCATTTCAACTAGTTGAATCAAATCCCGTTTGGTGAGTCAGAGCCCGCTTAGCACTAGACAGCTGCCTGTCAGTTTTCAGCAGAAAACGTGTGCCAAAAGAAACGGAAAAAAAAATTACTGGAAATAAAAAAAAAAAAATAATTAACAGAAGAGAAATTTGACATAATTTTGCCATATTAAAAGACATAATACGCTTTTAAAAGCATACTGGAAGGAAAAGTCGAGGGTAAGAATGCAAGAGGTAGACAACGATATAGGTGAGAGGACAACATCAAAAGATGGACGAACAGCTGTGTGAGAGAGTGTATAACTAAAACAAGAGACAGAGACATTGCAGCCAACTTGTAATGTGGAGACGGCACCCCATGGATTGATTTAATGCTAATGTGTATCCTGAGATCTGGCTTTCATTTTCTCAAGATATCCCACAAAATTAGTAGTAGTAGATTTTAACCCCACTGGGACATCACACAAGCGACAAACACCCGATGACGCGAAGTGCCACCATGCAGATAAGTATCGCCCGTGGAGAGGTCCCGGAAACCGCGTTCAGCCATTAGACCATATTTATGGTCGGGCTATATTGCGGCCCCTGGCAAGAGCCAGAGTAGGGCTTCAAATAACGAAAAATTGCATCTCACAAGGAGATGACTGGATTGACACTGAAAATAAAAAGATTCTTTAAAAAAATCCTACCCCAGATGACGTCACAGGCAGTAAAACATTTTAGAGAGTGGTGAGAATGGGTTTCCCTGCTTTCTGATGCTTTTAACGACTAAAACATCTAGAACTGGCCCTAATCCCAACCCACCTACGTCTCACGAGAGAATGCAGCCTAGGTAACACGACTGCATGCAGCCTAGGTCCCACAACTGCATGCACCCCCTGAAATATTAGACTCTCACGTGACCTGTGGATTACCTCTGAATGAGGTAGAATAATATTCAAGCACAAAGACAGACAACTGGTACAGGGAAACAAACGTAAAGTAAAGGCCTTTTAAGCAAGGAATGCATCGGAAATATCTATTCATTCACTGCCCTGCTGTGCCATTATAAAGCACATAGGGTTCGCATCCTATTTCTCCATTCCATTCTATCCTATGCAGTCACGGTAATATCAGGGATGGAACCCAGCAGAGCACCCTTGGTGTCTCTCATCAACGTTTTCTTAAAGGGACTGCGTGGTCTCGAGGCATGGTGTCGAGTGCTAGAGGTTCCGGGTTCAATATCCGGTAAGAGCTGGGATTTTTCTTTCACGTGAACTTGAATTTCTAGTGATTTACCTGCTCTCTAGTTAGTGAGATCCGAGCCCTTGTGCGGATGTAACCCATAAGGGTTTCTTTCCTCTTCTAACTCAAGCCTGAGTCTGACGAATCTCAGCTCAGTGCAAGAACTCAGTTGCACCGGCGAGGATCCCGAGATGCTTTGGGTAGATTTTTAACTCTAAATTTTGCACGGGCAGCGCCGTTAGGCTACTCTTTTTTTGTTGCCAAATGCCAAGACATTTTTCACGTGCTCAACACGGGCGTCCTGTCTTATTACCCAGAGACCAGGCGAAATTACTAGAGGTCCAGGTGAAAAAATCCCGGCGATCACCGGGGCTTGAACCCAGGACTGCACTCGAGGCGGACACCGTGCCTCGAGACCTAGCAACCCCCACATCTCAAAGAGACAGCCGTTATTGTTGAGGATAAGAAGAAGACTGGAACAGACTGTGACTGCAGGAATTTTCTATGGGAAAAGAAACAAACGAAGAGCAGCACAAGACGAGTCTTGACGGTGTTTTGTCGTGACATGAAGGGCTGTCAACATACGAACTAAATCATGCTGGTGAAGATCACAGACTGTGGAGAGGCATGATCGCATACTCCAGTCGGCGACGCATTTGATGATCATGATATTGATTCATTACTGTCTGAGTTGAATCCACACGATGAACTACTTTTTGTGAATTACCGAATCTATTCATAGACCTACTTGACCACCATGCTGACGGGCTCTTGAATCACAGTGTGGTCTTAAGTCTGGCCGTGAAGTTGAAGTGCCTGGTACAGATGTATGGCAAGATGGAGATCCTCAACTACGGGGTCCAGGTGTACAAGGTGGGTCGATGACACCTGGTTCGTGCCAATGTTATGTTGTCTATGGTTTGTTTCGAAATTAATGAACTTATGCAGCGATGTTCGGTGATTATTTTGATAGCCTATCCCGCATACAATGTAAAACTGGATTAATCTGATTCATGGAAAACCAATTCTGGAGATGACCATCTGCGAGCGAAACGCCCATGACGCATGTCCAATTTTATGTTTTGAACAGTCCTCGTTTCTGAACTAACTTGGGCCTACTGGTTGTTTTATCTAAATCAGTGTCTGTTTTGTTCAAAGACTGTAAATAAGGAAAACGGACAACTTAATATTTGTTTACATTATAACATATTTCTTACAAGGATATGATTATTATACAATTGCACGGCAAGTTACAACTTACACGCAGCGGTAATAGATTTTTAAAGTTAAGCACGACTTCTAGAACGGACTATAGTTGAAGTAGGAGTAAAGATGTTAGTAGTAGCAGTAGAAATAGTGGTAGTATTAGAAGTAGTGTTAGTATTAGAAAAAGTGGTAGTGGTAGATGTAGTGTTAGCAGTAGAAGTAGTGGTAGCACTAGAAGTAGTGGTAGTAGTAAAAGTAGTAGTAGCAGTAGAAGTAACGGTAGTATTTGCAGTAGTGGTAGTAGTAGAAGTAGTGGTAGTTGTAGAAGTAGTGGTAGTAGTAGAAGTAGTGGTAGTAGTAGAAGTAGTGTTAGTAGTAGAAGTAGTGGTAGTAGTAGAAGTAGTGTTAGTAGTAGAAGTAGTTGTAGTAGTAGAAGTAGTGGTAGTATTATTAGTAGTAGTAGAAGTATTGTTAGTAGTAGTAGTAGAAGTATTATTAGTAGTAGTAGAAGTATTGTTAGTAGTAGAAGTACTGGTAGCAGTAGAAGTACTGGTAGCAATAGAAGTAGTGGTAGTAGTAGAAATAGTGGTAGTAGTAGAAGTAGTGGTGTAGTAGAAGTAGTGGTAGTAGTAGAAGTAGTGTTAGTAGTAGAAGTAGTGTTAGTAGTAGAAGTAGTTGTAGTAGTAGAAGTAGTGGTAGTAGTAGAAGTAGTGATAGTAGTAGAAGAACGGGAAGTTGTAGCAAAATATAAAGGGAAAAGAATGATAATGGCGAAAAAGATGATGAAACAGTTTTCCCTGTCTCGCAGGTGGACGGAGAGCAAACCAAAGGCCTTCAGTGGAAGGATCAGTTAGCCTTAAAGCTGTCCTACCAGGCAAGTTTCATTTGCATATTCATTATGTTTTACCTGCTAAACAGTATACTTTCACAGATGGTTGGTTTGCTTTTTGTTTTTCTTGTTTTTCTTCTGTTGTTGTTGTTGGTGTTATTGTTGTTGTTACTGTTGTTGTTCTTGTTCTTGTCTTTGTTGTTGTTCTTCTTTTTTCTTTGTGTTATTTTCGTTGTTATTGTTGTTGTTCCCGTCGTTGTTTTTCGTGTTGAAGCTGTTGTTGTTTCTTCTTCTTCTTCTTCTTCTTCTTCTTCTTCTTCTTCTTCTTCTTCTTCTTCTTCTTCTTCTTCTTCTTCTTCTTCTTCTTCTTCTTCTTCTTCTTCTTCTTCTTCTTCTCCTTCTTCTTCTTTTTCTTCTTCTTCCGGTTCTTTTTTTTTCCATTTTTTTAAAAATTGTTGCTACTGTTGTTCTTTTCCTTGTTGTCCCTGTTGTGTGTTGTTGTTGTTGTTGTTGTTGTTGTTCTTCGTCTTCTTATTTTTCTTCTTCTTTTTCTTCTTCTTCTTCTTCCTCTTCTTCTTTTTTTTTTCTTCTTCTTCTTCTTTCTGTCTAGTCCTGTTCTGCTTTTCTATGTCAGGTTTTCAAGAAGTATTAGGTGCAAGCCCTGTCATATGCTATGTAAACGCGGGTTTTTACGGCCTAGGCTATTAAGTCTATCCATGCCTTGCTTTGTAGACCTCTAGTTTTGCTTTCATAATGTCAAAATGACACGGCTCTCCGTGGTTCACTGCATCTGGTTGTGTTGACACATGTCCAGACCATTTGATCTGTTGGCTTTGGACGTAGTTTAATACTGGTTTCGTTGCACCTTCTGATCCTGTCTAGTAGGTCAGTCTTACATACGAAATAATACCTGCGTATTAGTCGTTTCATAGAAGGTAAATAATATTTTCACATTATAGATTCCCTGTCAGGTAAATAATAGGTTCACATTAGATATAATCTACATACTAAATATTACTTTTACATTAGACATGTCTTACCAGGCAGATAATAAGTTAGGTATGTTCTTATAACTTAAAAAAAAAAAAAAAATAGTTTTCACATCTAGCGTGTTCTACCTGCTAAATGGTTTCATGTTTGTAGTTTGAACAAAGGATCAATGTCATGACACACGGGCAGTAACGCATAAATGCTCCTTTCTTCTTCTAACTTAAGTATGAGTCTTAAAAAGCTCAGAAAAGTGCACAGGTTCTGTATCACCAGCGAGGATCCTGAAATACTTTCGTTAGATTTTTAACTAACTAGCCAAGGGACTTTTTACGTGCGCAACAATGCACACGGGCGTCTGATCTCACTACCCAGAGACCAGGGGGAATTACTAGAAAACCAAGTCCAAGAAAAAAAAATCCTAGCCATTACCCAGGATTGAACCCGGAACCTCTAGCACTCGGGACGGACACCATGTATCGAAACCACTTAGTCCCCCCCCCCCCCCCCCCCCCCCCCCCCCCCCCCCCCCCCCTTCCCCAAAACATCTAGTAAAAGACCAGCACTCAGGGAATTTCCTTGAAAGTGCATATGCTTGAGAAGTAAGGAATCAACACTCACGACTAAGTTTTTCTAACAAAATTCAAGTCCATGAGTGAAGGAATAACCATAACTTGCGCAAGAGTTTATACAGCCGGTAAACATGAAGAAGAAGCATGTAGAAGGTCCGACAATTAAGTAATGAGATTGATTTTATTACGACTAAGAAAAAAGGGCCGTATATGAAGCAAAGCATGGAATCTAAAGAGGCAACATTCATCTACGATCTGGCAACTTTTCATCGCCGCACGATAAACAGTCAAACAAGCCGCCTGTTTGTTGACCTAGTCAGAGGTGCATTGTTATATAATCAGCATAGTGCAAAAAAAAAAATGATAACATTCAATTCTTTTTAAAACTCAAAAGAGCGTTATTGTAACAGTTAGTTAATGCAACAAGTTTAAGGGTATAATTGTTTATCTCGTTCACGAATTTTCAGATGGTGTTCACGATTCAAAAATGGCGTGAAAATGATTACTGATGCACTTCGACCTGGACGCCAAAATTCTGTTTGTAATGATGAACTCATTGCAGAAGTCAGAGAACGTATAACAGAAGATTATTGTTTCATTGTGACAATGATGGCAGATGAATCTGGTGTTAATAGAGAGACCATTCATAACATTTTAGTGCAAGATTTCGACAAGAAAAAAGCTGCTTGCCAGTTTGTACCACATTGGTTATTTGATGACAAAAAGCATCAGCGGGTTGAGTACCCAAGAAACATCATCAAAATAAACATTTTTGTCCCCAAAACAAGTGTGTGTTCTCGACCTTCAACCCTATTCCCCAGATTTGTCTCTCTGTGATTATTGTCTATTCCCAAAATTGAAGTTACGATTGAAAGGACGCTTCCTTAATGAAATTGATGACTTCCAAAAGGCCGTAACATCGACTTTTAGGGCCATAACAACAGAAGAACTACAGAGGTCGTGCCAGTGTTTGTTAGATCCTTATACTTGCTGCATCAATTCACAAGGGGCTTACTTTGAATCAGATACAATGTTACATTGTCAACTGTTGATTTTTTAATTTTTATGGATTCAGTCTCATTACTTAATTGTTGGACCTTGTATATCCAACCTGGCAACTAGCATTCTGAACTAAAGGGTGTCCATTTCAGGCTTGGAAACAACTGGATAGCGACCTGGAAGTTGATCATTTTATACCTGGGCTCACCTTTACTCGACCGCAGATCTTCTTTATATCTGTCGCCCAGGTGAGTGTTTGTTACCTATGATTGGTTAATACAAATTAATGTAACATATGGTACAATTTCAATAGGTTCAAACGAATTTTGTGTCCGTATTCCATAATTGTGAGTCCAAGTTGCATGATAGAGGTTTTGATCCTTGTGGGTTCCGGGGCCCTATTATAGGGAAAACAAGAACAGACCTGACTGATACAGGGAAAACAAGAATAGACCTGACTGCTAGAGGGAAAACAAGAATAGACCTGACTGCTAGAGGGAAAACAAGAATAGACCTGACTGCTAGAGGGAAAACAAGAATAGACCTGACTGCTAGAGGGAAAACAAGAAAAGTCATGACTGCTGGAGGGAAAACAAGAATAGTCCTGACTGCTAGAGGGAAAACAAGAATACACCTGACTGCTAGAGGGAAAACATGAATAGTCCTGACTGCTAGAGGGAAAACAAGAATATACCTGAATGCTAGAGTGAAAACAAGAATAGACCTGACTGCTACAGGGAAAACAAGCATAGTCCTGACTGCTAGAGGGAAAACAAGAATAGATCTGAATGCTAGAGGGAAAACAAGAATAGACCTGACTGCTAGAGGGAAAACAAGAATAGTCCTGACTGCTAGAGGGTAAACAAGCATTGACCTGACTGCTAGAGGGAAAACATGAATAGACCTGACTGCTACAGGGAAAACATGAATAGACCTGTAAGCAGTCGTAAGAGTCGACTATCTGGGAGCTATCTTCGAAGTCGGAGTGTATCTGCCAGAGAGGCAAGGAACCAACAATCTGCACACAAATGGGTCGGATGTGTCAAACACTCAGGTTCTATAACAGGACTGCAGTCCAGAAGTGGACGAACAACCAAAACTTGCCACCAGATTTTACAGCTGGTAAACTTCAAGAAGAAGATCTATCTTGTAAACTCGCTTGCATGTGCCAATTACAATAACCAGTCAGCGTGAAATCAAAACATCATAGATGAGATGTCTTAGTAGGAAGTAATCTGTCTCAATAGAGATTCAAATCCGTGACTGTCGAACCAGCAGGCTAGTTCCCTGCCACTAGGTTACCGCAGCTTCCACCTATTTTATATCTGTGATAGCTGTGGCAGCTTAGTTCAAAATGCTTGCACATTTTTAAATTTATTCTTTTTTTTCCCCTCAAGAACTAACTGCACACATGTCGTGATTGTCACTGGGTCACAGAGCATGTTTAGAAATGCGGAGATAGACATGCTCACTTGCAAAGTGGCAAGTATCGCTATGAAGGTTCCGGGTAGTTAGCGTAGTTTCAATATTTTCTGCCGGGGATACTAGTGATTAGTGATTAGTGATCAGAAAGGATTATCATCACAGCATTTAGGACAGATCCATAGGTGATCTGATCTGCTCCTTAAAAGCTCCACAAGTGTAAAACTACTGATGACGCCTGTTCTGCGTTGTGTAATGAAACGTATTGTCCCCTAAGTAAAATGTTCATTTCTTGCAGCTCCAGGCTGCACCCCCATGTCCATCAATTATACGGAGTCGTGTCCTTTGGCGTGCTCCTCGGTACCGTGGGTGCAATGCATGGCATTGATATCATCACTTCTGTCCAGTACTGGGCCAGCCATAGCAACCGCAATATCAACAAGATAGTCAGAGCGCTTGTTCCCTTGAACACCTGCATGACCTGGCACAAAGATAACAATTAGAGCAGATATTCTTGAAGTGCTTAGTGTTGCAATCCATATCGCCTGATAGATCTAGCTTGGATTTTTCAAAGTATATTCATCGAATCACTAAGAATGCATACGTATGTGAACTTTTCAGTACCAAGCCATGCTAAAGCCCTTGTTACAGCCATAGTTTCCATTGCAAGGCTACTAGTTCCAACAGCGAAGGCACCATTCATCTCCTTGATGGTTTTCCTCCTTGAGCTTACTGTGAAGGCCCATGCACTTCGCTTGCCCCTAATTACTGACCCACTGTGTAAACTACAGCATCACCTTTATCTGTGTTTTCGTCAATCAGTGTTCTGACTAAAGTATCAAAAATGCCAGGAATATGCTCTCTACAGCTTCCATCAAGTGTGATATGGACTGTAATAATAATGTTGGGAGAGGAAGGCATAATTATCCATTCAATTCCAGAATTAGTGCCAGTAAGGCGGCAAACATTTTTGATGGCATCCTCAGACCGACCCATCTAGGATTTGCCTCGTTTGAGTCTATTATTTTTGTTTTTTGAATAATTCTACATAAAGTGGGTGTCGATCGTCTGACTTCACTTTGAGGAAAGCAACAGCCTTGGATATCTTGATTCTGTTTTCCACTGTGGGGAAATCCAAGAGGGAATACTAATGTGTTGGGAAATGAACATGCAGCCAGATTGGCTTACCCTGTTGGTACATTAATGCATCACAAGCTAGATGTAAATGGACCCTTTGGAAGCGAGTGAACAGTACGGAGGTACAAACAGACTATCACTGTCCGAGACAATGTTGCTGCGAGAAAGTGACCTGGGGATGTGGCCAAGGCTGAATTCTCAGTGGAACGTTCGTACAGTCAGGTTGTTGCTGGTACCATCGTCACTGGAACTCTCCACTTGTTGCTAAAGATGTGACGCTCATTTGAATGTCGCCTGTGCTATGATGTCAGTTCTCACATCACCACTTGTAACTCATAACTCTTTGTTTGTTGTTAACAGACCCGTTGTGAGAAAGTCAGCGAGCGAGGTCTACTAGAGTACTACATTAGTGGCGGGTCCCATCCGTCTATTCCTAGCGAGCAGAGGTGAGTTATCAACACTTTTTAACGAACAGATGTGATTTATCAACATGTTAACGAACAAAGGTGAGTTAATAACATTGTAGCGAACAGAAGTGAGTTACTAACAGTGTGGCGAACAAAGGTGAGTTATCAACACTGTAGCGAACAAAGGTGAGTTATCAACATGTAGCGAACAAAGGTGAGTTACCAACATTGTAGCGAACAGAGATGAGTTACCAACATTGTAGCGAACAGAGGTGAGTTACCAACATTGTAGCGAACAGAGGTAAGTTATCAACATTGTAACAGAGTGAGTTGTCAACATTGTAAAGAATAGACCAACTTTACATTCTTTCTTTCTACATTAGTATTTGTTTCTCTCTACCTGTTCGCACAATAGTTTTCCCATTTTCTAGGTCCCCATGTGTAGATAATTTGAAGAACACTGCTCTGAGGTCTAAAATGTACCTGCATCTAGCGAACTTATTATTGTGTGGATAACTTTCTAACGGCCAAGAAAGGAGTTCAGTTTCCAAGAGCTCTGTATTGAAGAGCTTCCACATCCCTCCTTAGTGTTAACCAATAGAGTATGCTAGAAAAGTATTGAAAGTTCCCTTCTACATTAAAGGTTAATTTCTTGCGCTTTAAGGAATATTGGGCTAGACCTACATTTTGTAGACAAATCCGTACATGGTGAGTGATATGGTTAGCATCACGCTGACCGCCTTTACTTCCCAGCAGTGCACCTGGTACCCACTCAGGGCTGGGTCGACTTTTTCATCAATACTTATCTGATCAATTGTTTGGAGAGTGGCGAATGTGACAGATTAAAATTATATCAGAGGGTGATTAAAATCTGTTGCTGGAAACAACATACAGAGCTTTTCAGTGAAATAACAAGTAATATAGAATAGACAGCGAGTAAACGTAACTAAAGTAACAAGCTGGTGCTTGATGCTCTATGAGGAATCAGTTTGAAGAGAAGCAAAAATCAATCACAGAAAGACTTTGGCTTGGGCTTGCTATCTGCGGGCTGCGGACTTGTTCAATTTCATTTCGTTTTAATGTCTCCCTTCACATGCCAAATCTGAATGTTTGTGAGATTTATATAATATATGTGCAGATTGGATCTGAGATTGTTAGTTTTTAGATGGGAGGTGGGAGAGGTGGTATTTTTGGAGCTTTGTTTTTTAGTTACCCCTAATACAGGGAATACAGAGGAAATCCCCAGCTAACTGGACAATCAACTATTTGAAGGATTGCAAGTGTGCTGTTTTTTTATCTTCTTGTGTATGTGTGTGTGTGTGTGTGTGTGTGTGTGTGTGTGTGTGTGTGTGTGTGAGTGTGTGTGTGTGTGTGACATATTTCTGTTTGTTGGTTCCCAATCGGCTGATTTCCAAACTGGGAAAAGCCCTATCTTATCACGAAATTATTTGACTGTCCCGTGACGTCATCTTGACATCCTTGGGGTAACTAAAAATATATATTACCGTATTTTTTTTTTTAAACTAATCTACCTTCACTGTGAGGATGATCCAACCTATAATGGATAGGGAAATTTCCTTGGGAAAAAAAGGGGATCCGACTGATGCTGACAACATCAAACATAAACAAAACCAGCTGAATGAAAAATAAAATACAGAAAGGTCAATTGATAGGCACATCGTAATAGTCACACAAAAAGATAAATAAATGAAAGATAAATAAGTGATCAAGTTTTGATCGACACGCGTATAATTAAGAAGGCAAGAGTACAAACTATGCTGTTTATCTCCTGAAAACAATAACAGAACGTTCAATAGATGTAAAAAAAGATCTTCATTTCTGCTCTTTTGATTACACAAAAGCTTTCAATAGAGTTAGCCACGTCGACATGATAAAAATGCTCATTAATCAACTACTTGACGGGAAACGATCTTAGACTTATTAATTAGGTGCATATACTGCAAACAACACGCTGCTGTAAGAACCGTTAATGAAGTAGGATTCTACCAACCAGTCAAGAAAGATGGCAGATAGACGTGTGTAATGTCTTCGAATCCGTTTTCCTTGTGTAGTGCAAACATTATGCGACGTCTGAAAGATATCAAGGGAATTGACTTGAGAGGACAATAAAAGATATGCAGATGATAAGGTGATGACTGCAGACAATGAAGACAATCTACAGTGTTTAGTGGATGCAGTGATAGTTCACTGTGATAAACTACTTTTGGAATTGAATTGTAAACGGAAATTATGCTCATCACCAAGAAGAAAGAAATTCCAAAGTGCGAACTGTATGCAAGAATCAAAAGTCCTAGGCAGGTTGAAAGACACAACTATTTAGGAACAATCACAAAGTATGATGCAAGATATCTTAAAGGAATTAGAACAAGAATCATCATTGCACAAGTAACCTTTTATAAGAAGCAATAGATTCTCGCTGACAAGGAGCTGGGTGGTCTCGAGCCATGCTGTCAGCCTCGTGTGCTAGAGGTCTCGGATTCAAGCTCCGGTGAAGGCTGGGATTTTTTCACGTGGATTTTTGTAATTTCCCCTGGTCTCTGGGTAGTGAGACCGGACGCCTGTGTGTATTGTTGCGCACATTAAAAAAATCCCTTGTTGGAAATCGAAAAAAAAAACTAGTCTAGGGAGCTGCGCTGCCCAGGCAAAATTTGAAGTTGATAATCTACACAAAGTATTTCAGGATCGTCGCCGGTGCAACAGGGTTCGTGCACTGCGCTGAGATTATTCAGACTCAGGCTTGAGTTAGAAGAAGAAAGTAGCACTAATGGGTTACTCCTTGTGCCATGATGTTGATCCGTTGTTCAAACCTGTTGATTCCTTACTTCTCAGGAAGATGCACTTCGAAGGAAACAGCCTGATTAGATGTTGATCCGTTGAATAAACATAAGGGTTCTCACTAACAAGACGATGTCAGCTGCAGTGAGAAAGAGAGTGTTGAGGTGCTATGTAGAACCTGTGTTGTCATGTGCATGTCAAACATGGACAAGAAGTTAAAAATGCTGAAAACGTTTACTCGCAATAGAGTTGTGGTTTCTGAGAAGAATGCAAAGAATATCATGGAAGGATAGAAAAACAAACGAAGCAGTCCTCGTCGAGACAGACGAAAGTCGTAAGCATATCAGAACAATTAGACATGGAAACAACAAATCTCTGAGCGAGGATACACATGGATATCTAGATGTAACACAAACTAACTACTGAACGTACCACTAAAACACGAAACCAGTGTGCGCGTTTATTTCCTTTGACTCAATTCGCCGTACCTACGTTGCGTTGAGAACCCTGTACAGATTCTCAATGATAGATAGGACTACATGTTCCTAGGGCGACTGGCGAGAAAAAAAGAGCCACTAGCCAAAAGAACGGTATTTTTTCTCATGCACCGGGCCTTATAACAACTTGTCGACCTAATGGCCACTTCCGGAGAGTCCCAATCTGCAAACCTGCCAGCTTAAGTCCCCCTAGTGCAGCCAAACGGAAATTATTGAGGCTAAACTTCTCCCACCACCCTATTACGTTTACATACCATGATCCTAGAGTTAACTGTACGTTCTGAACGTTTGTTATTGACGTAAGATTATCGCAGACCTAACTTTTTCTCTGAATGTATTATATTTTATTTATATCAGAGCTAACAATATTATGAACAAATTATATCTTAAGGATGTACTGTTTGCTCGCGTTAACAATATTCTCTGAACCCATATACCCTTTCATCACAGCGTCAATGATATTTTATGAACACATTATATCTTCAGGTTTTATAACAGATTTAACGATTATTCTATTTCGTTTCATTTCCTTCTCATATGCAACATTATTCTGCCAGTATATTATATATTATTTTTTGTTCTATCTCAGAGTTAACAATACTGTCTGAATATGTTATTTTTTTGTGTTTGTTCTGTTCCAGGGTTAACGGAATTCTCCGAAACTCGGACGAGTTTTCCCAAGCCTTCCAGTGCTCCGACAATATGTACATGAATCCAATGGAAAAGTGTAGGATATTTGGATGAATCTGAGAGGCTTTTTAAGGAAATTGGGCTAAATCTGCGGATGTGCGGATATTTGGCTGAAAGGAATATGTAGGGTATTTGGCTGAAAGGAATATGTAGGGTATTTGGCTAAATCTTAGATGATTGTTTAGGATATTTGGCTAAATCTGAGAGGAATGTGTATGATATTTAGCTAAATTTGAGAGTAGTGTGTAGGATATTTAGCTAAATCTGAGAGGAATGTGTAGGATATTTAGCTGAATCTGATAGGAGTGTGAAGGATCTTTAGCTGAATTTGAGAGGAATGTGAAGGATATTTAGATGAATCTTAGAAGAGTGTGTAGGATCTTTAGCTGAATCTGATAGGAGTGTGAAGGATCTTTAGCTGAATTTGAGAGGAATGTGTAGGATATTTAGCTAAATCTGAGAGAGGTGAGTAGGATCTTTAGCTAAATCTGAGAGGAGTGTGAAGGATATTTAGCTAAATCTGAGAGGTATGTGAAGGATCTTTAGCTGAATCTGAGAGGTATGTGAAGGATCTTTAGCTAAATCTGAGAGGTGTGTGAAGAATCTTTATCTAAATCTGAGAGGAGTGTTTAGAATCTTTAACTAAATCTAAGAGGAGTGTGAAGGATCTTTAGCTAAATCTGTGAGTAATGTAAATGATCTTTAGCTAAATCTTAGAGTGTGTAGGATCTTTAGCTAAATCTTAGAGTAGTGTGTAGGATCTTTAGCTGAATCTGAGAGGAATGTGTATTATCTTTAGCTAAATCTGAGAGGAGTGTGAAGGATCTTTAGCTAAATCTGAGAGGAATGTGAAGCATTTTTAGCTAAATCTGAGAGGAGTGTGGAGGATCTTTAGCTAAATCCGAGAATAGTGTGTAGGTACTTTAGCTAAATTTGACAGGATTGTGTAGGATCTTTAGCTAAATCTGACAGGAGTGTGTAGGATCTTTAGCTAAATCTGAGAGGTGTGTGTAGGATCTTTAGCTAAATCTGAGAGGAGTGTTTGGGATCTTTAGCTAAATCCGAGAGGAGGGTGTAGGATCTTTAGCTAAATCTGAGATGAGTGTGTAGGATTTTTAGCTAAATCTGAGAGGAGTGTGTAGGATCTTTAGCTAAATCTGAGAGGAGTGTGTAGGATCTTTAGCTAAATCTGAGAGGAGTGTAAAAAATTTTGGGCTAATTCTGAATGAAACATGTGATAGTTAGCTCATTCTGTGAGACATGTTTTGTGTATTTGGCTGCATCCGAGAGAAAAGTGCAGAATGGCTAAATATGAGACAAAGTGTAGTATATTTATTAGTTCTAAGGGGAAAATGTAGGATATTTGGCCAAATTTAGGAGCAAAATGTAACAATTTTGGCTAAACCTCAGTGGTTAAATCTGAGACAAATTGAATGACATTTGGCTGAATCTGGGATAAGGATGTTGATATTGTTGTACAGATCAGATAGTTTGAGACTATATAGCACATCAAGTCAAACTAGCACAACATCAAATATTGTCTCTGTTGTTGCTATGATATCTGTAGTTTATCAATGATTTATATTAAAATATACTGAAGAAATTGTGGTATGTCTGAGTGCATAAAAGTAAATGGTGTTCTTTCCAGTGTGGGTTCCCGGGTCACCATTTTGGGAAAAACAAGAAAGGATCCACTGAATCCACAACAAGAATGTCGTAAGAGTTGACAAAATGCCGATTTTCTTAAAAGTCGCAGTGCATCTGCCTGATAGGCAAGGTACTAACAGTCTGTATACAAATAGACTTGTAAAATGGATATGTGCACCTCACTAAAGTTTTGGAACATGTTTAAAGTCCAGAGGTGGATGAACAACCAGAAATTTCCGCTAGAGTTTACAGCCGGTGAACGCGAAGAAGAAGAAAAAAAAGCAGATGAATAGTTTTTTTAGGTCAACTAGTCAGTAAAGAAACACTTGAAAATATATTGACAACTAGTAAAAAAAAGGAGGCAGACACATTAAAAACATTGCTGCATGGTCAAAGATAGTGGAGGTAAAACTAGCGTTAACAGCAATGACTTAGGACATGTTAAGAGACATCTAGATAAAACAAGAGAAGAAACTAACAGAAAATGCATCAAATTATATAGTCTACAAGTCAACTTAAGCTGTATCAAACCCCCGGGACGGCTAACGCGGTCAACAAATTCTCCCAGAAGTCGGATGTGTCGGTCAAAGGGTGCAAATATCTCAGCCATGCTGTAAACGGGCAGCAGGCAATTACATCTTTGGATGAACGCAAACCTATTGAGAATTTGCTCCAATCGGTTGTGTTAGACCGAAAGGCTACATATGTGTAAATAAGGAAAACAAATGCCAGTCGCACATTCAAGGGTTGAGACAGAACATGATTGTTTGCAGTGTTGACTGAATTAGGTGATGATTGTTTGTGATGATGATTGTTTGTGATGATCATCGTTTGTGTTGATAATCGTTTTTGATATCAACTGTTTTTGATGGTTGCTTCTGGTGATGATTGTCTCTGATGTTGATTGTTTGGGGTGATTATTGTTTGTGATGATAATTGCTTCTGGTGATTATTGTTTGTGATGTTGATTGTTTGTGATGATGTTTGTTTGTGATGATCATCGTGTGTGTTGATAATCGTTTTTGATATTAACTGTTTGTGATGGTTGCTTCTGGGGATGATTGTTTGTGATGTTGATTGATTGTGATGATGATTGTTTGTGATAATGATTGTTTGTGATGATGATTATTTATAGTCATGATTGTTTGTGATGATTGTTTGTGATGATGATTATTTATAGTCATGATTGTTTGTGATAATGTTTAATTGTTATGATCGTTATTTGTGATGATGATTGCTTGTGATGATGATTGTTTGTTGTAATGAGTGTTTGCGTTGATATGATGATCGTTTGTAGTTATGATTATTGTGATGTTTGTGGGAGGTGAATTTATTTGGTGATGAATGTGGTGACGCTACCTGTGGTCATTTTGTGTAGTTACAATTTTTGCATTTGTAATGGAGACGATACAAACTAACCCAGTGTTTGTTGCCATAAAAACTTAACTTATACATATCTACAGTACGTCATTTCTTACGGTGATTACATTATATACTTATGTGTTGTTTAGTACTGCTGGTTCATTTTCACGCCCTTTCGGACATGTGGAAAAAGCTCCCACATTTTTTACAGACCAATCGGCACTAGGTGGGTAAGGTCGTCTGCAATATACTGGTAGTCTTTACTTCCCCAGGAGATACATCTTGGTACCCATTTTAGACTGGATCGACCTGCGACGCCCTATTCCATGATAAAAATCCACACAGCTAGAAGTGGGTTTCGATCGCAGTACGTTGAAACTAAGAGTTGGACTGGGGATGCCTAAGCCACGGACGCCGCTATACTTTTGATCTTGTACGTATGTTGTCGTCACTTCTCTTCACAACAAGGTCAGGCACATCGAGTAGTGACTCCAGACACTGTTTTGAAGCTTCCATTTAATTTGACGTTAGTCTCCCCAGAGAAAGTAGGTCACGTTCTCTTGATAACCTTTTTGGACTGGTCTACTTTAGTGAGAGTTACGGGTGTGCCGTTCTGTTGTTTGCTTTCTTTTTTATTTTGCATTTTATTAATTTTTTGTTTTTTGTTTTGAGAAAGAGAATGCCTGTGGCATAGGTTGCAGCGCTTTCAAGGAAGGTTGTCTGTTAGACCCAGTTTGTGCATGTTTTTTTTTTTTTTTTGAAGTGTTAAAAACGCTGGCTTGCTGTAGTATACTTTATGCGATATCAACGGCATTAAGGAACACCCCCGTCATTTTGTGGCAAGGGTGGCTGTCTCAGGGTCGGCCAATCAGAAGTTAGCTAGGCTGAAGATTGACCAATCAGAAGTGAGCTTGTGTGTAAGAGTGAGTAAATGGGGAGATTTTCGTCGAACTAACCAAGCTTCCTACTCCACTAATACACCCGCAGGACTGACATACATGTATCACCATACTAGACCTTTATTCGCCGATGAATTTTAATGGGTTTCACTCTTCCTTGATTTAAAAAAAAAAAACGGATTATATGACGCTACTCCTCTTTAGTGTATGTCAACAGTGGGGCGGTCATCTTTAAACTGATAATATTATGTCAAGGTGTTCGTCTACATTGTGATGTCAAGTGCTTACAATACTGATATGTTAGAAGCATGGTTGTTGCAATATATATAACACATTCAAGGTTTTCATTCCAAGCTTCTGTGTGCTGTGCTTGTCAAGCAAACGATCCTTTTCACGGCTAGATTTTTTTATGAAAAACGGGACAATTGGTGATCCTTTAAAGTCCCGCTACCTAGCGTGCACTGCCTAACAAATGGTACTGTCCTGGTGAGATCATGTATATTTATATTGATTAACTTTTTTTTAATTAACTTGAACATAGTAACTTTTATTTACGTCATAACTCTGTAATAGTGCTGGTGATTGAAGGACAAGAATGTCGGTTCTAGTCTGCTCCCAGAAACATTTTTTTCTTTTTTTTCTTCTTCTTTGTTTCTATGGGTGTGTCTGTGTGTGTATATCTGTATGTGAGTGTGGAAAGGTATGTGAGTGTGTTTAAGTGAGTGGGTGGGTGTGTGTGCATGCATTTTACCACCCATACTTGTGTGCTTTTTTTTTTTTTTTTTTTTTTTTTTTTTTCTTCTCTTTTTTGATATTCATAAAATGCATATTATCATATGAATATAACATGCTTAGTTGATAAAATACAGCTGCAGGGTGAAAGACAGGTGTTTGGAAGGGCCGAATGTAAGACGGCCTGTGTGCCCAATTTTTTGACTCTTTGAAAATAAAGTTCGTTCGTTCGTTCGTTCTTCTCTTCCACCTTATACCTCATCGAAGTATCGGCGGAGTCGTAACGTTTGTTGATGAGCTCTGTCAAGAGCACCATTAAGACTGATTTTCTTAATGCCATCACTCCATATTTTCCGAGGTCTTCCACTCGCCCTATCCCCGTTGTAACGTTTTAGTGTGGCTCGCTGTGGCAGA